ACAGTGCGTTTTTATTTCGAAATCTCTTGCAGATTGCTTGTTGTGCAGCAATAACGTGTTGTTAATTCTAAAAGGATTTCGATTTTTTTGACAAACTGAGTCTGTACTTGAGTCTAGCGTGTCGGGGTCCACCCTAAACCAGACCAGGGGCAGTCAAATGTGGCTTGCGTGTTGGTTTGTCCCTCAGAGAGTGTGTGCCATCAAGAGCCACTTGGGGAGATCAAGGCAATCTTTCCAGCAAACAGCAAAACACTTGACCATCTAGCGCTTCCCCGCGGCAAATAAGAGAGAGAGGAAAAAAAAACTCGAGGAAGTGGAAACCGCGTAGTGGTCAACGGTCAGTGCTGTACTCTGTTGTGGTCACTCGGGAACGCGAGCGGCACGTGATAGTTTCTACATCTCCGCTAAGTGGGTGGCATTTTCAATGACTTTCGCGGTCTTTTCTTCCGGGAATGTTTACATTTAGCGAGTTAAGTATTTGGACATGCGCTCTCTCAAGCCATGGCCCTAATTGTGCAGGAAAACAAAACAAGCGTCCTATTTTCAATGGTTCTCTTCGGATGGTCGAACAAAGAGAGTGAAGCAGGGGCAGGAAATACCAACAAGGCAATGTGTTTAGCAGAGAACGAGAGGGCTCGGTGAGATATCCTGGATGAAACTGGAAATGTTACGGTTGAATACCGGACACTTTTGGGCAAACATTAAATCAGTAGGCCTTCAACTGACTACAGTTCAAAGTAATAGAACCATTGGCTCAGGAGGGGCAAATTCGGCACTGAAAGAACACACAAGTTCATCCACTGCTCCATCGGCGTTACCAAATGTAAGACACATTCTTACACAGCAAAGACAAAAACAAGAACAAAAAAAATAAAAAAATAATGCATACACATGCACTTCAGAGATCTCTGCTTAATAAGACAAAACCATCAAGTAACATTAGACGGGTGCAGGCATCATTCACAGACGAGCCCCCCCACACCCCAGCCCCCGCCCTAAAAAAGCACACTTAAAGGAACGATTAATTGCAAACTATTTCAGTTTTCCATGGGAAAATGGAAAACATCTGCGGGCTAGGAATCCAGGAAGAGTAGACAAATCGCGTAAAAATCGACAGCGAACAGGTAGCTTCTGTGTAATATCAAACGCGTCTGGTATCTCGGTCAAGGCAATCCCACGGTCTAGGGAAAGAAGAACAGAATTCCCAGGCAGAGTATTCTTGAAACCCGCCAAGAAATCGTTCCAACTTCTCGACCCATTTCTCTCTCTCTCTCTCTCTCTCTCTCTCTCTCTCTCTCTCTCTCTCTCTCTCTCTCTCTCTCTCTCTCTCTTGTCTCTCTGTCTGTCTCGCTCCCACTCTCTCTCTGCACCTTTCTCTCATTCTTTGTCACCTCATTTCCTTCTTTCACTATTTCTCTCTGTATGTGTGTATGTGCACGCGTGTGTGGGTTTGTGTGTGTGTGTGTCTGTGTGTGTGTGTGTGTGTGTCTGTGTGTGTGTGTGTGTGTGTGTGTGTGTCCGTCTCTGTCTTTCTTTATCTCGCTCTCTCTCTCTTCACTCTCTTCTCTCTCTCTTTCTCTCTCTCCATCTCTCTCTGTCTCTCTCTCCATCTCTCTCTCTCTCCCTC